TTAATGCACCCTCGCACGTAAGTTTATTGAATCTATCCCAACATTTTTTGAAATTTAAGATACTAGAAATGTAATTCCCCTCGATGTCGGCACATCTGAATACTAACCGCCCATGAAGACGTTTTTAAAGAATCTTCATTCGATGCGGCGCGGCATGCTAAGTGCGCCTCACTCCCCTAGTCGTTTTATGCGATAGTAGGTCAGTTTTTTCAGCGCCACCACGGAACACTCAATTCTCTTTGAAGCTTCGTCCCTGTCGTTCCGGCCTACCGGTTACTATACACTATGAGCACTGACGTGCCCTCGTCTAGACCAAGCCAGCTCTCCGTCCTCGCTTTCATTTTTTCTTTTTTTATTGCGAACTTTCAAACAGCCGAGTGGAAAGCCCTAAATGCCGCAATCGTGAAAATTCATCGAGAGCATTTTTTTTTTTTTTCACTTTTTTTTTCGACTCCCATGCTTTGATTTTCAAATTGACTGGGCGATCACAAAAACTTTTGATTTTGATCAAACGAGATACGTGAAAATTTGAGCTTGCGCGTTTTTTCTATACACAATTGACTGATGTCGAGAGGACTTTTTATGATGGCAAATTGTTTTGCGTCGTTTTACTCGTCAACGATTGCGAGATGTTTTTGTCTTCCTCTGATCATGGGGAACCACTCTACATCGGAGAAGTTACCGAAGGTTCTCCGTCATCTCGACATTCCTCCATGATGCCTAGGCTGTATAGGAAGTCTTGCGCGAAACACGCGCACAGAGGAGAGTCCCGCTGGCATTTCAAACTTCCGCGGAGGTTCGCTGCGTAGCCGGATAATGTTCATTCCTTGCGTCCTACGTTCCGTGGGTTCGTTAAAACTCCATGACTTTGTCATTCGAGCTGCTCGCAGCAATATTTTGGTATGGACCTCGGCAGTTTTCATTATTTTCAATTTTTAAATAAATAGCCAACGGGCAATCAGTATTCGCGCGAGATCATATTTTCATCAGCGAGATCAAATGTTAATTAATCCGCACGTGGACGAAATGGAAGATGAGGAAAATCAAGTTATGCCCTCGATGAGTGCAGGTATTAGATATCAATTCCCTTAATGACATTACACCCCGGCTCGCGTATAGCCGATTCTTTAAGGCACGACGTCGTCATCGCCGTTGTCTTGTACAACGAAGCTATTCAATTACAGCTTGCTCGATCGATATTCTCAAGCTGCTGTTAACGGCTCGTATCAATAAACTGACATAGCCTACTTGAACTAATGTCGACGCGCCTCTAAAAGATTAAAATATATATGATAGAAGTTGACTGTTTTTCCATTGTTCATTTCTCCGTCATTATCGTCGTCCCGTTGTCTACTGGCGTCGAGCTACCCAATTTTCTCTGATGTCTGATAATCTTAGTTGGCGCGAGCTCTAATGGACTGGGAAAAGATAACTTTTTCGTGTGTATTTATGACACATCGAATATGGAGTGCTCATAATGCTGCTTTTATTTATTACTTATTATGTATTATCAGTTTTTATAAGCACATCGGTCAACAAATCTTATCGGAGCTCGGATTATAGCATTATAAAATCACAATTTATTATCACTTTTTACTGTAACTCTGTATTATATAATAATTTTTAAAGTCAAAAATATTATTATAAATAATTGTCACTGTAACTAATTAGAATCGTAGTATAGCGTAGCAAGCAAATAGAAAACGTGATTGGTAGCATAAGATGCCGCAGGGTTCCTATTCTTGGCTCGTACGCCTGAGCGTAGCACGTTCACTCAGCGAAGTTAAGCGAGCTCACCGTAGTTAGTACTTGGATGGGTGAACACTGTCTATCGCAGGAGCGAAAGACCGCTCCCAAATTAAGTTAAGCCGTGGTGTCGACTTTCTCCTTTGCGCGATTTTTTCCTCCTATCCTTTTCTCCCCCTCGCTCTGATAAAATGGTTTCGATTCCGTCTACTGGACGAAACGGTGATTAGCGAGGGAGAATAAATTGGCAGGATCCACATTGGATTGCAGTTTTCATGGCAATAACCATATACTAAACCTGTCAAACAGATTATATTTTTAATTTTTTTTTTAATTTTGTCTCTTTTTTTTTATTATATGTATTTGATCCGTGACTTCACGGTAGTACGAGTAACGTGAAATCAGTGCTTTATAATAAAATGTTTGTTTTAAATAATCTTTAAAATTGTAATTCGACAGCACAACTTGCGCGTAAAAAATAATAAGCATGAACAGTAAGTGGGGAAAAATGTAAAATTAAATGTGTATATAAAAATAATAAACAACACTTTACTTTTTACAAACAATACAAGAGAAATAAAAAAATAGAATGGTAATTGAGTAGGCTTCTTCATTATCGACGCTAGGTATAACAAACATTTGAGTTTCAATATGTATACCATTTCAATGTGACTTATACAAATTTTATAAGTCCAATGAATAAAATTAATACAAATATAGCCAATACAACTTTATTATATAAATTTTATTCATGGTAGACACATTAATGCAAACATTTATTAAAATCACAACTATGCATTCTTTTTCAAGCATAATGTTTCCTGGTTACAATTATAAACAGGAATCCAACATCACAAAAATTACGTTACAAAAGTTATGATACATTGCGATATAGTCATAAACTCAATATATTATTTTGAATGCGAGAGACCGAGTTTTTCAGAGAATATTTGGCATTGTAGGTGTGTTTGTCGGACAAAACGTCTCGGCTTATCACATATAGGCTTTTCCTCTGATAGGAGCATACTCTTGATTAATCTACGTCGAAGCACAAGCACGCGTCTCCCACTCTTGTGCGCTGCTTCGATCGAAGGATTCTTTTCTCGTGAAAGTACGGACAATAGCGACTTCCCAAGTGTAAACTCATAAAACAAAATTACAAACTTGTGAGTACAATCATTAGCTCGTTTCCGTTCGGACAAATATCGAGGAAAGTGCGAGCTGTGTGTCTATCCTTCAGAACTTCTAAAAACGGACGCCAATAAAACGAGCCTAGTTCGTCGATCTCGTTCGGAAGCTTCCTCGTGTGTTTGCTGTTACGACAGTGACTAGACTTCGCGTGTGTGCTGCGAAAGGCGCTCGAATAGATTGTTTGGAATGAGTAGTCTAGACGCCGATGGCGTATACGCATAATTGCTCCTCCCACTTCGGCGTATGCATTATTAGTTGAGCGCTCGCGATATGTGCTGGCGGCTACCTACTCGACTCCGTGTTACACTGTCGAGGAGCGAGTCAAAGAAAACAAGAAAAAGAACCATTTATTGATCAAAGTGGCTATGCTGCGAGAGTGGGCGCGCGGCGAATGCTCTACTGCCTCGTTTTATTACTCGACACGCTCTAAGCGATCTTCGCTCGTATTGGATGCTCTCGATGTGTCGCTTTATTACATATTGAAACTTCTTTTTTTTTTTTCTTAGGGATTTTTGGATTATCAGGGGATTCAATGTTACATGAGATATCTTTCAGCATATGGCAATAATCACATTAGAAAAGGCATTAACTTTACTACTCTGTTTTGTACGAGTTTTTCATATGTGATAAGAAGTTTAAAAACGTGACTTGTATTTTGAAACGATTCTCTTGTCTGCACCTACAAAATAGAATTTGGCCTGAATTATGTGAGGTTTCCTGGAACAATTCGTTTTATGACTTTCTTAGGTATACTTTACGAGTTAGAAATCGTTTGGACGTCTAAGAAACCATGTGAAATATGTAAATTACAATTTTCACTTTTCGTCGGGAGAAAAAAGGAATGATTGCAATAATTATAAAACACTGTATTCTATAATTTTTTTCATACTGAAAACTTTCGATGCTATGCACAAGGTCAGTTGCGGATGAAAATAGAAAGACCACCATAAACGGCTGATTCCTGGGAATATTGTGCGCATCGTGCATTATTGAAGCAAATAATCTTTCAACTATAAATGCGCTTACTCAACAATAAACAAACACATAAGTCTATGATCAATATGCCTTGAATCACGGCGGTAAGGATGATTTTCAAAATCAATCACGCAATAGTACCTGTCTGCCGCGGGGGCATACAATAGCAAAACCGAGGCTTGCATATTGCATGCGCATCGCGACGAGCGGAAATAAAAATCAATCGGGAGAGGAGGAGGAGGAGGAGCCCTCCTGTCTCATACCCCATCACTCTCTCGTTTCATCAGGTTGCGCAAGTACACATGCGCTCGTAGGCATCACCGCAAGGCTAATCGTGCAGCACGGACACGTCTGCCTATGCCGCGCATCAGCTTTTCATGCAGAGAGGCGTCCACGTGACCAGTCGTCTACTCAGTTTTCGACTTGACGATGTCTCGCTTTTTACAAACCTGTTTTTCCTCTTTGTCTCCCAGCTCGCTCATCTCGAGATCTTTATCTTTGATTGCCTTCGCACACGGACTGCTAAACTTTTCCTATCAATTTACTCTTTCTCTGTCTCTCGTGTCTGCGTTGCTATTCATAGCTTCGCGCTGCGGCTTTCTACAGTCGGTTCTTCCAATTGTCCCCAGAAATCAAGTCGTCGTTTGCGATTTCCCCGCGAAACTCGTTGAATTTTCCGTTGGAAAACGTCCGATTCCGCGTACGTCCGTCCCTCCTTTTTCCCCGAATTTCCAAGCAGCGTGTACCTGCTACATCGGCGCACCCGACTCGCGCGTGTATCGCTCAGTCGTTAGCTCGCGGTTCGTCGCTGCAGCTACTCATTCATCGCTCCATCTTCGTCGTGCTAACGTAGCATAGCTGCCGCCCGTCCCTCCCCCCGCCGACTCTATGCACGGCGACGCCGGGCGGCTGCAGCCCACAAAACAGTACGGAGTGCCGTACTGGTGCAACACCAGCAGGTTGAGCGTGTCTGTTGCGTGGCGCTGGTGTCGGCCGATGGCTGCCTCGCCGCGTACTACCGCCGCCACCGCCGCTCGCGCTGCCACCGCTCGTTCACTCTGACTAACAGTGTGTAGTAGCTGCTCGGCGTGGTCGCGGCTCTCTCTTTCGCATTCTTTAGGCCGTGTATGTGTTTTGTTGTTGTTGTCGTGGTCGTGGTCGCTAGTTCGCCTACGTCTCGCAATAGTCTTCAGTTGTGCGCGCCTCTGTGAGTGTTTTTCTACGCACGGAAGTGAGTGAGTTTTATCGCTGAGACGCAGCAGTGATTTTGTATTCCGTCGAAGAAGAAGAAGGGAAGCGTATTGTGGGTGTAAGTGTTTTTTCGTCCAACGGCGGCGTCCCTCTACCTCTCTCTCTCTCTCTCTCTCTCTCTCTCTCTCTCTCTTGCTCTCTTTGTCTCTCTTGCTCGCGCGGCTGATTTAATCGGCAGCCATGGCTGTTAGTCTCGCCGCCTCGCCGAAGAACAAGTGCAACGGCCTGTCTGTCTCGCTCCGAAATATGTTGTAAGCTGCCACCACCGCCGTACCGGGCCTGCGCACCAACTAGTGTACACCGCGCATACACTACCATTACAACCCCGGCTCGGCTCCACTCCGCCTTTGCTACTTTGTGCTCTAACAAACTGCACTATTGTTAGCAAGTTTTAAGCCGCTTACAAATTAGCCTTCGCCTGTCGAGACGCTTGCACTAGTTTTGCACATGCTCTTGCGCGCGGCCTCTTTTAATTGTTTCGGAAATCTCGCTGCCTTCAATATTTCGCTACTGCCGGCTAGACATAGCAGCAGTATTAAATTAATACGATGTATGGAAGCAGGAAACTTACGTCGCGAAGGTTTATTAATAGCGCGGGCATGGCATGCACTTTAAAATGACGAGCGCATAAAAATAGCAACAAACGGTCTTCCCAACAATAGTCCGGAGAGCTATAGGGATACCCGATGCTCGCAGCTTTTGTTTGCCGACGAGAAGCAAAAAGTCCTTCCGTCGTTTGTACTTGTTGCAAACTTTTTCTTTTCAAATCGTTCATCATTTAAAGTTCACTGCGGGGCTTGTTTTCAAAATGGTCAAAGAGGCATCGTATATAATCGACGACAAGCAGCCAGAGGAAACTGCCGAATACGTGCCTTCTCTTACTGCATTTGTATACCTGCACCGTCTTGCCACAGGTGTCTCTCGAGCGCGGCAAAAGGAGGAAAAAAATAATCGAGACGTAAACACGAGAGAAGAAGAGACAGAGGAGAGGGATTGGTGGTGGTCGCATATTTTTCTCGCTGCCCAAAAAAGACAAGGGGCCTCGACGATGTTGCAGCCCCATAGACTTTTACAGGTTATGTTCGTAAGTGCGACGACTCCGCTGTACACACAGCGGATGTAGATTGAACTTTGAAAAGCTCGACTACATGCATACGTACGGGAGAGGAATGCGGTCCTCACACTTGCGAACGTGACTCACTTGCTGCTCGTTCGCTCGTCTGCGCGCCCGATTGCTCGTTACCATTTGTAATAGGCTCGCGGCTTCGATTCGCACGGAAGGCGCGATCGTCGATGATTATTGGCTCGCTCTCATGCGGAAACAGCTCTCGCCGATTGCCAATAGAGAACTGCATCAGTCGTTGTCTCTTGCTCACGTCGCGGAGAGACAATAATTCAAGCTCCGAATGAATGGTATCGAAGGAAAAATCGAATCGAGCAAAAACAATCCGTGAACGGGGATAGGGAGAAGGCGCGCCGCAGTTATCCGTGGAACGCGAACGATTTCCTACGCGGCGCCCGCGGTAGAATGCAATTATTTCTATGGGCGCTCTCTCTCTCTCTCTCGCGCGCGCACCATCATTAACGCCCCTAAGAGCAAAAAAGGGAAAGAACGCAAAGTTTTCAGCGAGAGATCGACGCCGCAGCGGCTTGCAAAGCACTCGCGTTGCTTTATTTATAGGACGCGAAAGGGAGATTCTGACGAGGGACCCGCGTGTGTTGTTACAGTGCGTGGGCTTTAGGGAACGCCGGATGTGCGCTCAGACGCGGCGTCCTCGCAGCTTCTCTTCGCTTTTCTTTTGTCACGACTGTCGAAAGTAGGACGCGCTGTTCGTTTTTACGCTCGCGTTTTTATCCATCGAGCCGACCTCGCGGGTTCATCGTTTTCTCTCTGCCGAAGCGTGTAATTGTTCGACAGCTGTGCGCCGCGAGGCGACGCGACGTCAGCGGCATTCGGTCGGATTCGGAGTCGCTCTGTGAAATCCAAGCGGAGAGCGCGCGTCAAGCCAAAGCAGGCTGGATTATTCCAGCCGAGCGATACGTCGCGGCAGCAGTGGCGGCGTGCAGTCGACGCGAACGTATGCAAACGAGCCGCACCGCCGTGAACGGGGAGGTGAACTCTCTCGCCCGGGGCTGATCGTCGTCGACGTTCTGTTGCAGCCGATGAGAGTTGGCTCGTTAAATCCATCGTTTCTTGTCTCTTTGTGTCTTAGCGGGAAATGCTTGTTGCCCGGTCGTAAAGCAACGCGAGGATGTTGCCCTGACGGCGACAGTCGGCGACGTCTCCGTCATGCGCTGTCCTCGCCGCCTACTGCCAACGACAATAACTACCGGAGAGTCGACGACGAGCTGGACGAGCGGCGAAAGCACGACGAAATGACGGGCGGCAAGAAGTGCTGGTAATGTCGATACGCGTGAGCGGTGTCTACCTGCTGCAGCAGGAGACAAGCAACGACAAGTCACCGTCGCCCATTTCCGAGCACAACAACGAGTCCAACAATCATCTGCGATATCATCATCAGCATCACCATCATCATCAGAGCAAGACGGTGACCATTGTCACGGGCGGCCCGCAGCGGAGCAACAGTTTGGATTACCTGAATTTCGAAGAGAAGAGGCAGATTATCGCGTCTTCTCTGTCGCTCAGTGACTTCCTCGCACATGGGCCTGCCGCCGCCGCTGCCGCCGCCGCCAAGGAAGTCGCTGCCAATACCGTTGTCATAGGTGAGTTTGCCGGAAAACTTGTCGCAACTCTCTGCGATTTACGACAGTCGCAAATACTCGGAAATTGTCACTCGTCTCTCGACCCACACCCCGCCCCCGCCAACTTTCTCAATTCAATTAGATCAGAGGCATTATTAGACCACCGCTTTCTTGAAAAACAGGCCAACTTTTCCCTTGCCTTCTCCTTTATTACTTCCAAGTTGTTGAAGCTCCAGAGTAAAACTTCGCGAGCGTGCACTTCAGCCTCGCGCTCTTTTTCTTTTTTTCTTTTTTTCTTTTTTTTTTCACTTTTCCGCTCTCCCAATTTCCCCGTGAATAATTCAATCTCGTGCGGAGACGCGCTTTTTTCCGTCGCCTCGTCCCCTCCTGAACCTGAAACATTCAGGCAAAACAAAAACGGGAGAGAACTCCCTCGCGGAAGAATTGGCTTGAAAAGAAAAGCCGAAACGGGCCGATTGTTTTTATCGAGAGCGAAGCGCGAGAGGCCGTGAAGGTTTGCGCGCGGTAGCGTCGGCAGTCACGCCTATAGCGCGATTTGCCGTTGCCATTGCTGTTGCTATTGCTGTCGTTGTTATTGTTATTGTTGTTGTTGAAGTCTTCTCGCCGCCACCGCAGATGAGAAACTTTGCTCTCTCCTCGTCTGCTTCCGCGTGCCTGCAGTGGCGGCAATAGCCGCGTGTACGCGCATCGCTAGCGCACTTGCCTCGGAGGCTTTCCACGTGAAATCGCTCTCTTCCTCTCTGCGATGGAAAGGCTCGCGGGACTTTTATTATTGAAATTTATCTTGCGCCACGATATAAAGCGGCCAAGGCACGAGGCCTGCTGTCATTGTTACGGTTCTACCAGTAGGATGAACGTTATTACGGAACTTTCATTTCCCGATACGTTAAATGAAAAAAAAAGACATAAAAAAATTGATTCGTCGTCCCATAGAAAAATGGGATTGGCATAAGTACGTCATAAAATTACACGTCGCAAGCGTACGAGAATTCCATGGAGTTTCAGAATCGCCACTTTGCCGTAATGGCATTCCGGACGAATCATAATGAAATGCTTAAAACGACGCACAAACAATGGCGCGCAAGGCTATATGGCACACGACAATTTCTCAACAGAGCCACTTACTGCGTAAGCTTATTCAAATTCGCGGAACGCTCAAGTCAAAGATCGACACTTTTCAATAACTCGCTGGCGGCGCAATCGATCGCTCGTGACGGATTGCTCGTACACGGTCGTTCCAGCTCGGAGCGCTTCCTCGATAAGCACTGAAATCGGGCTCGCGAGGTCAAAGCGCTCGGAAGCAAGCGCGACGTGCACTGGCGGAGAGGAGAGAGTCGTAACGCGCTTTCGCCCGCAGAAGTGCGTGTGGCAGCGCAATGGAGTGACGACGCCGCCGCGGGGGCGGACGAAGAGGGAATCCCTGGCCTTTCGCTTGCCACTTCGATTCGGAGTCAAGGAACTCTCGCGCGCTCGCACGCCGGAGAACGGCCGGCGCACACTGCCGCGCGAGTAAACAGAAACGCGCGCGGAATGCGACCACGGGTAAATAGCTACCTGGTCAAGGCTGGCGAGGACTACTGTCCTGCCCGGTGCATCGTTGCTTTGCAGTTAGCGCGCGCGAAGCTTCGTTTCGTCAGTCGCGCCGTGGACCGAGCTCGGAGGCGGCCGTACTCGCGAGCAGGTAAAACCAATCGACGCTTCGCTGTATTTCGGGAAAAAGCTTCCGTGCGAGCGATCCCATCCAACCGGCAAAACCAATCGACAGGCGTGTAGATCGACGACCTCTTGCAGCATTACTATTTTACATTTTGCACGTTGAACGCGCCACTGGTTTATGCGGACCATTTGAATTTTCGCATTTCGCCAACGCAATCATCAGTCCTGTAAGATACCACAAGTAAGATGGATGTAAATAACGTCTACGTGGTAAGAATTTTTCAAGTACACTTGAATCCTCTCGCGTGTAAGTACTTTAATTATGTCGATTTGTTAATGATTACATGCTATGAGAAAATACTTTATCTACAATAATTGCTAGACATTTTTTGAACGCTACAATAATGAAAATGAGAAAATTGAATGACTTAAGACAATTCTATTTTGAATTTTGTACACGTGTAGTCGCTTGACGATTGACACAAGATGGATCTTATTATAAAATATAAAATATTGAAGCCATTTTACAAGTCGTATCGGTCGTTTTCAGTTTTACGTAAAATATCGATGAAACATCATTTCGCAAATCAATAAATATACAAGACAAGACATCGGAATCGTTTAATAAAATTGCTCAAAGTTTTATATTTAGCGTCGATCCTCGGGGTATTTCCTTATATTTAAAATTAAATTTGTTCGATTAATAAAATTTCCACTTCGTGACAAATAACTTTTCTACACTTCATTGTTAAAATTCTTTATCTAAATAAGATGCGTTCTGGTTGAGCTTGCAAGGATTTCGTATAGAAAAGCTTATATATGCTGTGGTTATCGTGGACGTCACTTGCCATAATAACCGCAGTATATATGAAATACAAAAGTATAAGAACACCTATTTTAAATTCGTAAACCTGGTATTATTAATTAGATACTTGGCACGACTTTCCGGAATAATGCGATATTCCAGTACATGATTATTAATAAGTTTACGTAGTAAGGGCAACCTCATAATGTAATCTGTCATACGTAACATGAAAATAAATAATATAATATGAATAAAAAACGGTCTCATAGCGTTAATACGAGACACAAATAAAAATTACTATGAAACAGAACAGAAACCAAAATCACGCAACAAGTCTTGTTTATTCGTACAGCTTGAGCAGAGAGTGCTGACGATTTTCGCGTGAAATTGTATTTAGGCAACTTGTGATGATAGCACGAACAGTGCTGCCTCGAGTTGCCACAATGGATTGGCGATTTTCCTGTAAAATAACGAAATTGAAGTATTCTTTCGGTCTCGCACGCTGCAGTTCCTACTTGGTGGGTCCGCATGACTTACAATGTGTTCTTAGCGACGATCCGCGTGATTTCGCGTGGCCAACGAATTGTTGCCAAACTTCCCGGGACGCGATCTTATGCACTCAACGGCACTTGACTTTATTTCTGTTCTACAGTTCTAAGTGAATCGTAGCCTGCTCGAGAGTCGAACCAAGACTGCTCGTACCTGTATCCTACTCGGCATAGTTCCTTTTGTTGTGTACATCCTCGTACGAAAAATGTTGATGTTTGGGTGCCGCGACAAGATAACCTGCGGACCTTAATATTAATCGAAAGTCACTAGTCACGCGCTCGACTCAGCGAAACCTGTTATTAGCTTGCCTTAAATTCCACGACCATGTGCCATTACAAACGGCCCCGTAGTCTAGGCTGCTCTTGCCCATCGGTCTATGGCTTTCGCCTCCGCAGCACTGCGCACAATGTGCTTCGCGCTGCACAATTCTGTTCTCGAAGCAGAAGTAAATTGCACCATTCGCGGCTTTACGTAACCGGCGGATATTTTTTCCTCGTTTCTTTCCACTCTGCATCCGCGCAGCGGCGGCGTTACACACGCTCTCGCGTCGCGCGCGCTGGCCTTCGCTGCTATTGAATGCCAACTGACGGAGTGGATAATTGACCCTTGCTTTCGGAAGGACGCGCGCAATATTCGGTTGCTTGTCCTTTTTCTTTCTTCGCTCGCTGACTCCCGCGTTGCGCCGTGCTCGCGATCCGAGCGCTAAAGAAGCTACAACGGCTGCTTTCCTTTTCATTTCGCGAAATTCCACGCAGCGATTTTCCTCGGCTCCTCGCTCTGACGTAACGCGTCGAAAGAAGCAGCGGCGCTTCTTCCTTTCACCTATCGCATGCTCTCGCGCGCGCAGCATGTCGAGTAAGGTCGCGGAATTTTCTCGCTGTAAGCTACAACGCGAGCGACGAGCTTTTCGGACCTGCGCCGCGGGACACCGCGGGACGCCGCACCGCAGAGCTCTGTTTTAGGCCGCTTATCGCAGAGCTGTAATTATGATAGCGCTCATGAGACTGCGACAGAACAAATTCGAGGCGGGACATGGCTGTGCTGACTGTATTTTGAGCTCTATTACGCGTCGCAACTTGTTATACCGCCATGATTAATTGCCAATTAGTCGCTCCCATTGACTTGAGTGACCGAATTTCGAGGCTCAATTCATTGCGATTATTTGTTTATTTAGAGCAGTTGATCGTGCCTCTCCCGCTCTAATCAAACACTCAACTTTTTTCATAACGATTCTTGTTTGCAGAACTCGGGCCTTAGGTTGCGCTCGCTAGCTCCACTGCCTCGCACAAGCCTCGGACGTAACGAGAAACGGAGTGCAAAAATCGGTCGAGTCCTGTCTGTCTCGCCAGTGCCAGTTGTTATTGCGCGAATCTTATAAAATCGATAAGTGTACAAAATGAGAAGAGTGCGTGCGTGCGAGAGCGCGCAGACAGACACGTACACGTGGCAGCAGCGCGCGCGGAAATCGTTCATCGAGTGTGTACATATGGCAGGAGAGCACAGAGAGCATCGCGCTCCGAGCGTATTATACACATCTCGAAAAGGGTGTGAAAACGCGTATACGCGCACAACCTGCAAGAGGACGATTTATCGCGCGCATTGATTTCCATAGCCAACGGTGTTTTCGCGTTTTTTCCTCCTCTCACTCTCGCGGTTCGTTCAATCTAAGAAACACCAAGTTTTCGACAGCCAAAAGAGCAAACAATAAAAAGGAAAAAAGATAAGGAACTCTCGTCGAAAGAGAGTTTCACAAGTGTCGGCGGCTAAGGAAAGGAGCCGCCGGGACTGACTTTGCGCGAGCGACAAGCTTGCACGAATCTGCGATTTATCTCGCCAGCGAATCCTTTCCGGCTCTGACGAACGTCTGCTACGTGTTTGTTTGATCGTACAGATTTGCTTGTACTTTGACTCTCGCATTCCGCTGCCGCGGCTGAGGTGCGCGCGCGCGACAATAACAACGGGCTCTGCGGCTGAGCCGTTTCGGCGCGTA